TTCCTGGGCTCTGCGACTGTGCGAAGTCGTTGGTCTCGGAGCATCTGGCCATGGAAGCCGTGGCCGAGCAGCGAGACGCTGCATGGTTGCGTGATCTCGGCATGCATATTCGTTTGGATCGCGGCAGCCGTCCTCTGTACACATCTGGGCTGGATAGTAGCTGTGCTTGCGTGGGCCTGAGAAATCTTTGCAACTCTTGCTATTTGAATTCGCTGTTGCAGTGCTTCTTCGGTTGCGCACCTCTGCGAGAAGACGTTTCTAACCAATCGCCGCCAAAGGGTCCTCTGGCGGCGCAGGTGCAGCATCTGTTTCGGTGTTCTCTCAGCCTTGCAAGCCTACGACAACCAATCGATCACTGGCAGCTGCCACTGCCTTTACCGAGTCGTACCTGGAATGGTTTGCAGAAGCGCAGACGGCAGCGGACGAAGGGCGGCTGCGGTTTGCGGAGCGGCAAGAGTACCCGTCTCTGTGGGAGACGGAGGAGATGCAGGCTGCCATGCAGGAGAAGTTGGAGCTGGCGCGGGCAGAGGAAGATGAAGAGGAGCCCGTCGTGTCTCCAGGCGACACTCAGCGGGCGCCGCGAGCTACAGTGGAAATGTATTCATCCATGCAAGCTCTGGAGCGAGTAGTCAATCTGGAAAGCTTGGCCCGGGCTCGGCAGGAAAAGCCCAAGAAGAGGCGAGAGGTGGATCGGTACCTGCAGCAAGACTTCGTGAAGATAACCACTGCCGCGAGCTAGAAGCTGCGGATGTCGACGACGAAGAGGAGCACGAGGAGGCGCAGCTGGAGGGTGCTACCAGATGTCCCTCCCATGTGTTTCAGCCCATCATCTTTCGGCCGAATCCGGACGAACAGCGGCGGCTGCTGCAGCTAGACTATCAAGCCAGGAAAAACCGATACACGAGTGAATTTCTGGAGGAGACTTGGCTCCAGCAGGATGCTTTCGAGGTGGCACGGGCTGCACCCAAGGAGTTGCACAAATATAAAGCTCTGTTCACGGCGCTCAGCTCCTTGGAGGTGGCGTTTCGATGAATGTCTAGAACTGCATTTCTTTTTCTTCTTTCCTTTAGTTCGTTCCTCTGGAGTGACGCTGTGCAAAATGTCCACGGCAAGTCTCAGGACGATCGGTCAGAGAAGCTGGAGTCGCTGCGAGAGCAAAAGCCAAACGAAGAGGAGGCGGAGGACGCGGACGACAGCCACTTGAAGCGGTTGCGAGCGTGGCTGCCGCGACTGCCGCGAGACTGTGTGCGATTCGCGGATCAGACAGTGTATGGAAAACCTTCCGAACTGTTGGCGGACATGATGCTTGCTTTGCCGGCGAACGAGAAGCTGAATGAAGATCAGGAGCTGTTCATGTGGCGGTTTGGCGACGTTCTGAACACGGTTTACGATGAGGCCGGGTTGTGCGTTCGGATGTTCCGTTTATGTGCATGTGTGTCTGATGGCTGGCATGTTTCTTTTCCGATGCTTTTTTTACGCAGGAACAGCGATTGGCGCCGCACAAGCGCGGTGTGTATCACATGCTTCTGTTAGGACAAAGCGGTTCCGGTAAAACGCACGTGGTGCAGAATCTCATCTTTCCTGTTGTTTTGTTTATCTGGCCACCAGAAGATGGCAGCGAGACTCTTCGAGTGGTGGCTGCCAAGAACTCACAGGCTAAGAACATTTCGACGTCCTCTGTGCGAGCCACGACGGTGCATGCTGCCGCTTGCATGCGGGTCCAGAACCTGTCGAATGGCAACCTGACGGCCGGCTCCAAGGAGAAGGCGTTGCGGACAATGTGGCAGAGCTGTCGCGTGCTGATCTTGGAGGAGATCAGCATGGTTGCTGCTATGTTGTACAACATGTTGGACTATCGTTCCATGCTGAGTCATGATGTGAACCCGCAGACGTACACTCGGATTGGTTGTGCTTTTGGTCGCGTTCCCATAGTTTTGCATTTGGGAGATTTCTTGCAGCTGCGTCCCACTGCTCAGCTGTCGCTCCTGGATGATTTGAAGGCGAGAGACGAGGATGGCTGTTTGCTGCATTCTGATGTCCCGCCAGAAGTTCAGCATGCGCAGCAAGTGTTCGCAAACATTCAAGATGTGTTCGAGCTGCGGGGCACGAAGCGTTTCAAAGATGGCGATCCATTGATCGAGCTGTTGCAGTGCATGCGCGCAGGCCGTCAGTTGTCCGAAGGACTGTGGTTGGCTTTCCAGCAAAGGTTCGTGACGGATGCTGGTCCGGGCAAGCCAGATGCCAGACTCCAGGACGAAAACTTCCGCTCTGGCTATTGCATGTCCATCTATTGGGCCTCCTTGTCTCGGATGCTTTTCCGCCGTGCTATCCTGGACGCAGCGCGAGGGAGTGTTCCGCTCGTGTTGCTGCAGTGTGCCGACGAGTGCTCCGGTTGCGTTTCGGTTGCTGAATCAGCCTAATCCAAACCGAACCGGTCACATGCACGGCGTGCTGCCTTGCCATGTAGGCATGGAAATTCGGCTTCTGGAGAAGTTGGATGGGACGAAGGGGCTGGTGCAGGACACCCAAGCGACGATCTTTGATTTCGAGTTTTCTGCAGAAGATCGTCGTGCGTACAGGCGGACATCCGGTGGTGAGATCTTTAGTCCACGTTTCTTGCCATCGGGTCTCTGGGTCAGCGTGCGCAACTACGATGGCAACAAAAATTGGCAGGCCATGGCGGCCGTTTGTCGTCTGCATGTAGAAACCGATGAGGCTGCGGAGGAACTGGCGCGCAGTCTGTGGTTTCTGCCTGCTGTGGAAGTGAAGATGCAATTCTCCAGTACGCAGAAGTACGTAATCAGACGCTGCGGGTTTCAGGTGTCGCACGCCAAGTTCATCACTAGCACTGCCTCGCAGGGAGTGACACTGCGACAGGGCACCGTCATCGATTGTGCGCGACTGCCCGAACTGGATGAGGATAATTGGTGGTTGCATTTGTACGTCATGTTTTCTCGTGTCACCTGCCTGGAAGACATGTTGCTGCTGCGTCCTCCGCCGAGAGAAATGTTGGAACGCGGCCCGCCGAGAGCCATCTTGGAACGTTTGCGGCGACTGGAAGAACGTGCAGCGGGTTGTCGCACTGGTGCAGTCAAACTGCGAGAATCCTTTGGCCAGACGCGGAAGCGGAAACGGCTCCCTGCGTGATTTGCTGATTGCTGATGCGCTTTTATTTGTCGATCACCCGTAGGGTGACGCACGTCGATCCGGATTGGAAAGATGTGCTGTCTTTGACGGTGCTGACATTTCATCATCAAGCAGACACCATGTCTGACACGATGTTGGATGACAATCCGTGGCAGATGTCGATCCGGATTGGAAAGATGTGCTGTCTACGTCGATGCTGATGTCTCATCATGTACAGACCCTGTGAGGTGGCGTCGGATCAGCATCCGCGGCACCTGTCGATCTGGATTGGAAAGATGTGATATTTCTAGGACAGACGTTGGTATCCGTGGCACATGTCGATCCGGAATGGAGAGATGTGCTGTCGAGGACGGTGCCGACATCTCGTCTCGTAGACAGGGGCCATGTGATGCAATGACGGACTACCGTCAGTGGCGCATGTCGATCCGGATTGGAGAGATGTGCTGTCTATGACGATGCTGATGTCTCATCATCATGTACAGACCCTGTGACGCAACGTCGGATCAGCATCCGTGGCACCTGTCGATCCGGATTGCAGAGATGTGATGTCTCTAGGGCACACGTCGTTGTATGTTAGGCCGTGATTCTGTCAGTTTGTTCGTTTGTCCGCAGCAATTTTGGACCTGAAGCTGATTGGCCTGCATCTTTTGATCTCATCCGCTCCGCCTTTTGGACATGACTGATCTTCGTCGTCGATTTCAGAATCCGATCGGATTACGGGCGCTCGCGCACGGCTCCTACAACGAGCTCTGTCGGCCTTGCGTAGACTGTGGTCTCTACACGGGAAGTTACTGTGACGGCGACAGTGAGGATTGCTTCGCTGCCGATCGTGTGCCGAGCGAACAATGGGCCGACAATCAGCGTACTCCGCTCTGCACCGCCTGTGATCGCAGGCACGACATGTGCCGCTTCTGTCGAGGGATCCCTTGGGCGACGCCGCCAGCACACCGCGATCGCGATCGACACCAGCCGGCTGGCCATGATCACGGGCCGGTGCCGAAGGCTCCGCCTGGTGCTCATGAAGCCGCTCCGAACAGAGGCTTCGATCAGCCGGTCTTTTATGTGGATCATCAGGGGGGCCAGCCCTCTCAGGGCAGGATGAATGCTGCCTGGGCTGGCCCATCTCCGAGTTTCGCTGGTGGCAGCTCGACTCCGGGGACCAAAGCTCCGCCGACCCCCAATCAGATCGCAGCGTATCAGGCTGGTCGCGCTGGAGCTCCTCCGCGGGCCAAGCCCAAAGCGGAGCCTTCGGCAGCGTTTCGGCAGGCAGAAGCGGAGCTCATTGAGCTGCTCGGTGCTGCCCACCTGGACGATCCGGCGTCGGATCGTTAATCGGTGGTGCACGGATTCTGCGTGTATACTTCTTTTTAACTGTTCTTTCTCGTCCGATGCGTTAAATCGGAGCGGAGACGCGATCTCCAGCTGGTGATCGGTGTTTCGTTCGGACCGACGAAGATCGGGAGAAATTTTGCTCGGATATCGGGCGGATGCATGTCGCTCCGGATTGGAAAGATGTGCTGTCTGGTGTTCCGCAACGTCGGATCGCTGTCCGTGGCACGTGTCGATCCGGATTGGAAAGATGCGTAGTCTGGGATGGTGCCGATGTCTGATCATGTAGAGGCCATGTTTTGCAACGTCGGATTCTCTTCCATGGCACCTGTTGATCCGGATTGGAGATTCGGTGCTGTATGGGATGGTTCAAGAGATCCGACAGATGTCGACTGGAAGCGCCATGGCGTGAACTCGAAAAGCGCGCGACGCCTGCTTTGATCTTTGATGCATGTCCGCAAGGGAGGCTTCGGCTCTGGTTGCTGGTCTTCTGGAGTGGGCATCTCGGATTGCGCACCGACTCTCGGTCCGCTAACGTTCATCGAGCCACAGGGTGGCACGTGTTCAGCATGTGGCTTCAGACCTGCAAGACAAAAAAAATTCGGCGGTGCGCGTCGATCCGTATTGGAGACACGCGCACCATCGAAACATAGGGCGCCACGTGTTCGGTGTGTGGTTTATAAGACTTGCCAGACCCAAAGATTCAGCGGTGCGCGTCGATCCGTATTGGAGATTCACGCATCACTGAATCGGCGTTTGTGCAATGGCCACGGATGGCGGCCTCGACGCGGCGGTGATCCGGTTGAGTTTGGCAGCAGACGAGTGGTATCCGAACAAAAAAGTTAACCCGTCGAGAGGCAAGATGCTGAAGGCCTATACCGCCACGCTGGACCTGGCCAACGGAACCAGCCTCAGGGACGTGGTGGAGTATCGAGCTAGGGGGCAGGGTCGCAATTGCTATTTCTTCAGGAATCATAGTTTGGCGCTGAAGATTTTCGTGGACCCGACCGGGCAGTGGGACACGCACGAGACGGAAGAACTGGGCTTGCGGTTTTGGCAGCCAAGGCTGCCGCAACACATTCCTGCGTTTTTCGGCAGGTTCGTCGTCGATGCGGACACCCACCACGGCATGCTTCGAGCGGATGCGATACTGGTTGGCAAGGCGGGTCCCACCCTGGAGTCGATCTTGGCCGGAATCGCGGAAGACGACTTGGGGTCTGTGGAAGTGCAAGTTCGACAACACTTTTTTCTGCTGGTTTCTGCGTGCAAGAACGCTTTCGACGCGGGTCTGCGCTTCTACGGAAACATGCACATGAACGACGTCTGTTTGGACGAGACAATCGAACAGTACATGTTCACCGGTTTGGACGCACTGGTACCTGTGGAGCCTCATCTCACTTTTGCCGATTGCATGAGGAGAGCCAGGAGATGTTTGATCAGGCCATCACGTCCGAGGGATCCGGCCTTCGATGCGTTCGAGGAGTTGGCACGTACTTACCTCCAGGGCCTCGGGGTGGACGTATCGGATCTGACACGGCTCCGTCGCCAGCTGGCGTTGCCAGACAACTTTTCAATTCGGCGTGCTGCAGGCAGATGGGTTTGGGTGCCTGACAGCGGCCCGCAGGATCCTGCACGATGTGACGTGTCGAGCGCTTCAGCTGCCGAACCATATCCGGGAAGCAGTGCTTCTGCGACTGGCTCGGTTGCCGTGCAGCAGTGCTTGCATGCTGTTATTATTTGTCTTGGTTCTGGTATTAGTTTCTTTCGTTTTTTTTTTTATTTTTTAATTTCGTTTGGCTACCTGTTTGAATGTCAGGTTCCCGGCGCCTTTTCGACAGCAAGCGGTGCGGAGGACCGCTTGCCTCCGTGGGCATCGCCTGCGGGGTTCAGGGGACCGTCCCGGCAAGTCCTTCGGCAGCTTCTTCGTGTCTTGCGCAAGATTCGCTTTCGGCGTTTGCTTATATTATATTTCCATAGTTGTATGGGATGCGACGAGATACTGCAGGAGCAGATGTTGGTTCGTCTGACCGCCGAGAAATCTCGCGCTCTGGATCTAGCTGCTGGGGCAGTGGTGGTAATTCGGAGGAGAGACGAGACTGAGGGCATGCTCTATGTGCGGCTGCCAAATGGCAATGACAGCTGGATATATTATCACGATGTGGCTCAGCGGGTGTGATGACTGTCTGCTCGCAAGAATGCATTGGACGTGGGTTGGCGTTGCTATCTCGACATGTCCATGCGGTACACTGGCTTGGAGAAGAGAATATAGCAGCGTACGTTCCTGGATCGAGCGAGCGCGGATTCTGTGAGCTTTATCTGAGTATCATCATGAGGAGATACGTGCATGTGTCACTTTTTTTGCTGTGGGTAGAATCGTGGTTGTTGCCTGGACTACGATCGCGACGGGTCCGGCGGCACGATGCGTTCTTTAAAGCTGTTTCGATTTCGATGTCTCACCGCGTGTAGGTATGATACCGTCACTTCCAAAGGAACAGCTGCCTTTGCTCGGATTTACAGTGAGGGAATAGGAGTAAGTAAGGATCGCAGTAACCGAATCACATTCTTTCTATAGTCAGAGGTTAATTCCGATACAGATCCGCAACGACCTTGTCCTGTGTACACATTCCAAGTCGCTGTTCACGTACTTGGCGGGCTCGTCGAAGCGTTTCGGCTTTGATTGCCAGGCTCCTGGAGTCGGCACCTCGAACTGCGAAGGAATTCTCAGACGTTTAATCATTTAATGTTCATCGAAACACAGGGTGGCACGTGTTCAGCATCTGCTTTCAGATCTGCAAGACAAGAAAAAGGTTCGGTGGTGCGTGTCGATCCGTATTGGAGACACGCGCGCCATCGAAACATAGGGCGCCACGTGTTCGGTGTGTGGTTTAAGAGTTGCAAGACCCAAAGATTCAGCGGTGCGTGTCGATCGGTATTGGAGATTCACGCGTCACTGAATCTGCATCTGTGCCATGGCCAGTGTCGGCGTCCCCGTAGCGGAAGTGACCGCGTTGAAATTGGATGCGAAAGACTGGTATCCGAACGTAAAGGCTAACACCTCGAAAGGCAAGATGGCGAAGGCCTATACCGCCACGCTGAGTCTGGCGAATGGAACCAGCCTCACGGACGTGGTGGAGTATCGAGCTAGCGGGCAGGGTCGCAATTGCTATTTCTTCACGAAGCATCGTTTAGTGCTGAAGATTTTCGTTGACCCGACCGGGCAGTGGTCCGCGCACGAGTCGGAAGAACGGGGCTTGCAGTTGTGGCAGCCAAGGCTGCCGAAACACATTCCTGCGTTCTTCGGCAGGTTCATCGTCAACGCGCAGACCTACTCGGGGTTTCATCGAGCGGATGCGATATTGGCTGGCAAGGCGGGTCCCACTCTGCAGTCCGTCTTGGAGGGAATCGAGGGAAGCGATTCGGAGTCTATGCTTCAGCAGGTTCGGCAACACTTCTTCCTGCTGGTTTCGGCGTGCAAGAACGCGTTCGACGCGGGTCTGCGCTTCTATCCTGACATGCACGCGCGTAACGTCTGCCTGGACGAGACACTCGAGCAGTACATGTTCGTGGATCTGGAGACGTTGCTAGATGTGGAGCCTCATCTGACTTTTTCCGATTGCATGAGGAGAGCCAACAAATTTCTGACAAAGCAAGCATCATTTCCACAGGGCCCGCCCTTCGCTGCGTTCAAGGAGTTGGCAAGCACTTGCATCGATGATTATTGGGGGAAAATGTCGGACCTGACATGGCTCCATCGCCAGCTGGAGTTGCCGGACAGATATCTACCCGCCGCGCCGTCTGATCCGCCGGCCCCGCTATCGCCGGCGGACTTGGCAAATTTGGAAAGACTACAACCAGCCGCCGCGCCGTCGCATCCGCGGGCCGCGCTTCCGCCGGCGGCCTTTCCAAATGTGCAAACACAAGAACCGCCGCCGGCGCCTGCCGTCGAGACAGCATGGGATGAGTCGAGCGCTTCAGCTACCGATCCATATCGCCCAAGCAGCACTTCTGCGGCCGTCTCGGTCGCTGTAGAGCAGTGCTGATATCGGTTTTTAACACTTGTATTAATATTATTATAATATTATTACTATTCTTACTACTATTATTTATTTTTTTTCATTCGGGTATTGGTGTAAGGCTCCTGACGTCTCTGCGACGGCAAGCGGCTCACCTGACCGCCATGCTTCATTGGAACCGCCCTCGGCGGCAATCTCCAACCCGTCTCAGGAAGGGGTTCAGCCGACCGTCTCGGCGGCATTTTCAGGTATTGCGCAGGACTCTCATTCGACTTCGTTTATTTTTAAGTTTTTATTTGTTGATTTTTGTTAAAGACTTGTACGGGATGTGTCGAGACACTGCAGGAGCAAAAGTTCGTTCAGCTTACCGCCCCGAAAGCTCAAGAACTGGAGGTCGCTGCTGGCAAAACGGTGCAAGTCTTGTGCAGAGATGACGTGGAGCAAATGCTCTATGTGTGGCTTGGGGAGGACAGGTTTAGCTGGATATACTATAAGGATGTGCTGCAGCAGGCGCCGTTAGATGAAAGATTCGGAAGGAGGGGGCACCAGGCAGTCGTAGGCGATGTTCGCATGTCTGCGGCAGGCTGCGGCGCCGCAGGTGACAAGGCCGACCAACGAGGTACCGGAGGGGAAGCGCCCTGCGGCCGGAAGCTTTTCTTCGTTTTGCGAGTTGTGCTTATGTCAGGAGATGACCTTTGCTTCTCACGAGGGTTCGGCTGAAGGAGTCGCTGCTGAGGCCTCCAACGCTCGTCGGGTTTAGGATTTAAGGTACTTGCCTTGTTGACCCATTAGTTGCAGCTCGAACGCCAGGTTCCAACTTCATCTTCTGGCGGCGCAAACGTGCCGGTGCCGATGGCTGGAATCGTCGAGCAGGACAGTGAAGTGTTTCTTGTTGGAAAAGGTTGCAGAGTAGTGCTTGTTGCGTCGGCTGCAGGCTGGTACGTTTGGCAGTGCTCATGTAATTCAGTTTCAGCAACAGCAGCAACAGCGACCACCGACTGCTGGAAGGAATCGACCGGCAATGTTGCGACGTCGTCCAAACCGCCTTCGTCTGGTCGACAGGCTCGGAGAGTCCGATAGCTCGAGTTTGCTTTTGCGACGTGCCAGGGACAGAAGCAGAAACGCCCTCGACTCATGATGCGCCGCAACAAGACTGCGAAGCCGGTCGAGGCGGCGGTTGTCTGCTTAAGAGTGAGGAGCTTGTCAGGCTGCTTCGATGTCTTGTTGTAGTTGCCAGGTAAGCGAGCCGAGCTGCCGCCCTCGACCTCGAACGACTTGCCTTGCTCGCTGTCAGTATGCGAGCCGGAGAACGCGGCCGGTCATTATTCGCTGCTTTGGAATGAGCTGGTGACCGTCAGCAAACAGCAGGAGACGTCGCATATCATTGATGGTTCGGTGAAGATCGTATTGTCTGTTCGGTCCGGCACGAGAGTCGATGGCTGCAACTGGCCTGGCCTCGATCTGAGAGCATCGGTGACTTGCTGTTGCCCGGGCGGCGGCAGGTTGACTCCTGACCAGGCTCTGCAGAGGCAGAGTCTGTTCGAGAGCATCCTAAGCAACATCGCGCTGCACTGCTGTCCGCAACCCCTCTGTAGGTGCCACACTAACGACGACTTCTTTCTGCGAGATGCCGACCGCTTGTCGGAAGACACGTAGCAGCACTTGTCCGGCAACTGGCGTAATCATTTGTTGCGAGCTCGCCTGGCGGCACTCCGCCCTGCCGTACTCCACGGTGTTCAGGGACAACGAGGGGAACTCCTTCATCTTCCAGCCCTCCGAGAGCAGCAGGCCGCGCGCAGCACATCTGGAGGGTGGATACCCAAGTTCCTTGCAGCGGGCCGGCCTCGATGCCTTAGAATCTGGGGGACTCATCTTGCTGGCCGGAGATGCAGGGCGGATAAGAGCGAAATTTTTACCGCCCTTGAGGCCAACTCTCCTACGGCTCGAGGAGTATGACAGCAAAGCGAGGCGCCGATGCGTTTGCTGGGGGCGGCTGGGCGGTCCTCCGGGCTCCGAGTCCTCAAGGGGAGGCCTCTTGCCGTTCTCCTTGTTTTTGCCGCCGTTGCGGTTCTTGCGACATCTTGATTTCCATGGAGACCTTGCCGTACCCACACGGATTTGACAGCCCATCGGTCCGTCCACACCGCTGGCCGGGTGTGCGGCTTCGAGTGCATCGAGGCACCTGGACCGCCTTGAGGCCAACGTGCCAGGGCTGTGGCATATGACACCCGGGCACCTGGGCTAAAGTGCCGGGTGGGGTGGTCCGGTGGGTGTTGTTTGCAACCGTGCTTACAGCCTTGAAGGGGAGGCCAGCCGTGCTTGTCGTGTTCGGGGGGCGTTTGAGTCTCGGTTGTAATTTGTATCAAGATGCGTGTGATCCGGATTGGAAAGCCGCAATGGTTAGCTTGGCCAAAGGCAAGTTTTGACTAACAAGAGTTTCGCTGAACATTCACTGCTGACAGTAAGAAACTGACTGCCTACTTCTACTTGTTTCTTGCGACATCTTGACTTGCTTTGAGACCTTGCCGTGCCCGCGCGGATGCTGTTGTTTGCGAGAAAAGACTTGCTGCCCTTACCCAAGTTCCTTGCAGCGGGCCGGCCTCGATCCCTTAGAATCTGGGGGACTCATCTTGCTGGCCGGAGATGCAGGGCGGATAAGAGCGAAATTTTTGCCGCCCTTGAGGCCAACTCTCCTACGGCTCGAGGAGTATGACAGCAAAGCGAGGCGCCGATGCGTTTGCTGGGGGCGGCTGCTTCTAAGGAGGCAGCGCCGTGGGCGGTCCTCCGGGCTCCGAGTCCTCAAGGGGAGGCCTCTTGCAGTTCTCGTTGTTTCTGCCGCAATTGCCGTTCTTGCGACATCTTGATTTACATGGAGACCTTGCCGTACCCACACGGATTCGATAGCCCATCGGTCCGTTCACACCGCTGGCCGGGTGTGCGGCTTCGAGTGCATCGAGGCACCTGGACCGCCTTGAGGCCAACGTGCCGGGGCTGTGGCATATGACACCCGGGCACGTGGGCTAAAGTGCCGGGTGGGGTGGTCCAGTGTTGTGGCTTGCTTTTAGCTCCCAACCAGAAGGGGAGGCCATCCGTGCTTGTAATGATAGGGAGCCTTGCTGCTGCTAGCAGACCGTTTTGCAGGCAAGATCTGGCTGATAACTGTCTCGCTAAAGATCCCGGGCAGCCTGCCCAGTGGTGGTGTCCCAAGGCCGGGGAGGGTCGGCTGGGAAGAGCGTTCTGATCTAGGTCCCGGTTCATTGCTCCACCTCCAACCCAAGTCCGAAATCCTTGGTGATGCAGTGTAAGTTTTGTTGTTGATCTGCATAGATCGAAGTCAGATCGAGGGCTTCTGTCCCAAGGCCGGGGAGGGTCGCCTGGGAAGAGCGTTCTGATCTAGGTTTCGGTTCATTGCTCCATCTCCAACCCGAGTCCGAAATCCTTGGTGATGCAGTGTAAGTTTTGTTGTTGATCTGCATAGATCGAAGTCAGATCGAGGGCTTCTGTCCCAAGGCCGGGGAGGGTCGCCTGGGAAGAGCGTTCTGATCTAGGTTTCGGTTCATTGCTCCATCTCCAACCCGAGTCCGAAATCCTTGGTGATGCAGTGTAAGTTTTGTTGTTGATCTGCATAGATCGAAGTCAGATCGAGGGCTTCTGTCCCAAGGCCGGGGAGGGTCGCCTGGGAAGAGCGTTCTGATCTAGGTTCCGGTTCATTGCTCCACCTCCAACCCAAGTCCGAAATCCTTGGTGATGCAGTGTAAGTTTTGTTATATCTACCAAGGGCCGACGTTCGAGTTGAGACTCTGCTTGGCACTTACTCGACATGGCTCTTGTGCTTTTAGAGCGCTTTCTTGCACGCAGCCTACCACTCGGATTGGGAAGCGCTGCGTGACTTGGATTTCGAAGCGCGCTGCAGTTATTATCAGACTTGTTGTTGCTTTTGAGCATCGCAAACATCGCAGAGCATCCAGCAGCTATTTTACACATTTCTCTTGCTGCAGCATTGATGCACGTCTTGGCCTCCTGGGGAGCTCTAGATACCTTCGCTTGCTCCTGGCTCAAGAGTTAGTTTTGTTTTAGAGATCGCCGTCGCGGCATCGTTATTCCGTCATCGTCATGTCCTCAGGAGACGACTCCGAGGCGAGCTGGCCGAGTTCCACCGCTCCCACCAGGTCGCACCGCATCAAGCTTGCTGAAGCGGGCCGCACCGACGCGGCGAGCGACATTTCTTCGAGGAGTGCGATGAGTGCTCTTGCGGCCTTCGTTCAGAACACCGATGCCAGCATGCAAACTGCGTTGGCTAACCTGTCTTGGGCTAATAGGACTCGGATCAAGCTTCTGCTTTCCCGAATCGAAGCTTCGCAAGATTACCAGCGCCTTGGCTACGTGATGCACCCGGGACCCGTGCCCGAGATCAGGAATGTGGCGAACGGCGAGACCTCTGCTAGCTGATTTTCTGACTGCAGTAGAAACTGGTATCGATGTAGGTCGGAGGCGTGTGATCCGGATTGGAAAGCCGCAATGGGTAGATCTGCATGTGTCCCATGCGTGTGATCCGGATTGGAGAGCCACGACGGTTAGGCTGGCGAAAGCCGAGTTTTGCTTCACAACAGCTTCGCTGGACGTCTAGCGCGGACACAAAAAATCTCGCTGCCTGTGAAACCTGAGCTCAAATGACACTGCCCATGGCTCTCTCGAAAGCGTTTGCTTGGACGGCACACTCGCAGTGAGTTGAGGTGTTGCATTCCGGGTAAAGTGTTCTCTCCAAGAATGTACCTGAGCTCAAATGACACTGCCCATGGCTCTCTCGAAAGCGTTTGCTTGGACGGCACACTCGCAATCAGTTGAGGTTTTGCATTCCGAGTAAAGTGTTCTCTCCAAGAATGTACTTGGTCCCTGTCACATGTCTTGGTGGGTGGGCTTGCTGCTTGCTTTCGATTCGCCCTACCCATCCTGCATGCCCCAGCTCGGTGGTCTTACAGACCGCGCTCCAGTCGGGCTCGGACCCGAGTTATGGGTCCTTGACCGTGCGGGACAGTGTCGTTGGCCGGCGCTGGGGATTTATTCTGTGCTCGCCTAGCAAAGTGGTGTGCCCACGACAGGTGATTCAGTGCAGATTGCAGGGAAGGCCCGACTACTAAATACTATGCCACGTACCCACGCCCACGGGCAAAGTCTTGAAGTACTTTGCCCATCGCTGGAAGTTGCCCGCGTGGCCCTGCGTGGCATCTTATGTTGTGCCTCATTGACAGGTCTGTTTGAATCGGCTGCGTTGCGCAGCGATCCCGGTGCACTCTACGATGAGCGTGACCTGTCTTCTTGCGGGCCTTTACGGGGCGCAATCGGATTTCAGCGTGCAGCTCCAGCGGGGTGACCCCATCTTGGCCGAATGGGGGTGGCTTAGAAGTCTCCGGTCCGCATGACTGTCAGAGCACGCTCGTGTTTGAAAAGACGCCGGGGAGGCTACAATCTGAGGTGACTTGCTTGATTGAGCACTGTCTTGCGACTTGTTTGCTTCACAGCACGATAGTGTCAGCCTGCCTCACCCCCCTCCCCGGCCACACACGGTTCATCAAGAGTGGGGATGCAGCTGATAACATGTGAGAGCGCATGGACGTGGAATTGCAGGGACTGGTTCGTCATGCTTAAGCATCGATCTTGTGCACTCAGCTTTCCGATTCTCGAACTTTTCAGCCTCCCTTTCCAGCTTTCGACTTGACTCG